CAAGAATAACCTTTTATAGATTTTATAGACATACAACTGGTGCTCATGTACACTTTGGGTGGCAAGTGGTAAACATGCTTTTTCAAAACTGGATCAAACATAATAAACGACCAAAATAAAGTAGAAAACAGACCTTTTCCATAATTTGTACTGATTACATCGAGGATGTTTTAGGAAAGAGATTTCAATGTTTTTGACTTTTCAAACAATAATACCATATTTGTATATTGCTCTACCCTGTTGGTGGGATTGCAGAAGTATTACGAGTGGCAGCTGAGTCACTTTGTCTGAATACCAGGGAAGGGGAAGGGGAGGGTAAAAATGCAATGTGCAAAACTTTTGAAGCATGGAATGATTAACTGTTTAACAAACTGAATTCAAGATGACTCATTGGTTTGAATTAAATCTATCTCAACATGAAAATAGACATTGCAAAATTGCTAAGAAATTAAAATTCAGTTTCACCTTACTGAAAAACTGAGCCTATACAGTTATTACATAATCATTGTCACAATTATTATCACAATATACAAGGCAAGAGATGCCATAACCATGATACAAGTGAACTTTTTACCACAACACAGCAATTGTATGATTGTCACAGGTACAGTGACCTTTGAACTTCAACCATCTGGACAGCACATGATAACCTCTCATTACAGAACCATGGGTGTGAAAGTGGAAACAGATCACGTAAAATACATTGCATCATTTCTTGGATTACGATCAATGAAGAGGAACTTTTCAATGTCTGGACATACATGTACAGGACGAAGGGGGTTCTTCCATCCAACAAGGTGTTTATCCTCTCATGCCATTCACATGGCTTGATAGCACAGTGGATTCAGAAGAAATGAAGGGATGCAGGCTATGGAGCGTTTTTTTATTTGAAAACATCACAGGTTCTTTAACCTCTTATCCATTGTATATTAACAGTTGCTCAATTAACAAGCTCCAGAGACAAATGCTCTGCCATCATTAACCAAAATCATAAATTACATAACAAACAATTGGGTTGTAGACTACACTGCAATTGCAATCTTAACCCTAACATTACTGGTATAAGTTTGACACAATAACTCCTGGATTGTTAACACAGCAAATATAAAGTCACCTTCATAAGAGAGGCACAAGATGTAAAAGAAGGGTGAGAAGGGAAGGGCGATGATTATCAAGACAAGATCTACTGAAGATCTGAAATCCTCCGGGGAAAATCTTTGCAAGAAAAATTGCAACACCTGATAATAAAAGTGAAACATTATCAAATGGCCTCAGACTGCTCATTACATGCAAACTTATGGCTACAGGGGCAAACTTTTCACTTGTGTTTAATGACCTCATACCCACCCACTCTCTCATGCTTAATTTGGCAACATAAACAGCCCGCCCTGGATAATCTCTCACATTTGTGACATTTCTGGAGCACCTGCTAGATGTAAACACATACACCTTCCTCTTCAAAAAAAAAACTCATGAAGGTTTTGACATTTGCAGGTACATGTATATCCAAACAGGAATGAAAAGTAACTTACCGCCAATCAGACAACAAAAGTTCATTGTATAGCTTTACAAAGACCATATACAACAAGTGATTAATCCTAGTCTAGTCTGAATGTCATATGATTAAACATCGCATAGCGAAACACATGAATGAGCTCTATTCAAACGACAACTCGATAAAGAGGGTCCCATCTCATCTTAACGTTTTATGGTTAAATCATATAACTGCGAGGCTTATTGTCAGCATGCACTCCGATGATTAGACAACTGTCATGTCAACTGACCTGCTCGAAACTGGTTTCTTTACACCATGTTTCTTTATACAATGATATTTTTTCTTCATGAGTGTACGCCCCTTTCACCATACAATCATTTTTTTTTATTACTGTTTTTATTATGTTTCTTTTTTAGTATATACAACTTTTGTATAAATTTTGCCTGGTGTGAACAGACTATTGTGTACCTGCACATGAACTTTATGAGTGAAATTATACACCTGATTTGATTTTTCTGTGTCCTTGTCACGCATGCCGTGTTACCGGCCTGGCAGCAGGACTCAATAACCTTATATGGAATATGATTAATGATCAGAAAGAAAGAAAATACTTTTTCTTATCCCCCTCCCCCACCTCCCCCACCTTATCTCTGTCGTTACAGGTGGGTTGTAAAGTTTACTGATCAGGTTCAATGTTTAAAAATAAATCCAGATCAATCAATTTATATACCAGTATATTACCAGTTAAAGACATTCTGCAGTTAAAGAATTTAGTGGTTCAACAAATATTAATCTTCCTTCTTAACAGCTATGAATACAGAGAGGGGGTAATTAAGAATAATCAGAAGCCACAATTACCATTTAACTTGATATTCATATTCATTATACCTATGGTATTCACAAAAGTATGGAAATCTCAACAAAATACAAGTGACTTGCATATTCATCTTGTCAAAATATTATAGGTTAAATGGATATACCTCTTGGGAGTATTCATTTGCTAAAAATACATATCGGTACTTGTGAAATAAATGTGCAAACATACATGTATATGTACATAAAAAAGGGTGCTTTCCTATGAAAGTACTTGATGTTTTGATTCCAAGGATGTATGTTGAATGATTCTCTTAGATGCTCCTCTATTCTGCAAAATCATCGCTTACAGTGAAAACTTGATCAAGAATACAAACTTTCTCTAAATGGAGGAGGGGAGGAATTACAGCTACAAATAGGTACTACAAATATTTTTCTCACTCTAAATGACTCAGATATATGAAAGTATTCTTTTTTCAATTTCCCTTAATTCCTGTCCCAAGCAATCATCATTTCCTTCATCTCCACTGTCCCATTTTGGATGAATCCTCGTTGCTCCCTTTCTCAAATTCTATTCTGATTGAAATTTGAAAGTCAAAGTATAGCATCTCTACAAACCCAACATTTCCATTGGTCATTCTTTCACTTGAATAGAACGACTAAAAAGAGAATATACAAATATACATGTGCATTATTCATTTGGTAAAACATGTCTTATCTAACCCTGGCACAGAACTAACTTCCATCAGCAAGGCATTAATGTATAATTGCCACTCTTGACCCAGATGAAGTAAATGGATACTCGTACCTCACATCTTAAATAAACAATTGATCAACATCTTAATTTCCTTTTGGCATACTTTGCTTATATCCAAAAGATATAGGCCTATACTGAATCATACTTTTCTTTCCTAAAAGACACTGCAATTGCTCTACATAGCCTTTAATGTTCTCCCATGATTCATTTTCATTCAATCCCTTGTCATTCTTCTAATTTCTACTTTCATAAGATGTTCTTCTTTTAAAAAAACACATATTAACATGAATACGGTACTCACATTCCACAAAATCTCCTTGTGGTTGGCAAAAGAGTTCATTTTTAGATCAAGAGCCAAATATAGTAGACGATGAACATGATTCAATACTCCACTTGAAGTGAATCACTAATTGGTGGGGGTAAAGAACATGTATTCTATTCAGATACCATCAATGTAACCCTTAGTATCTCTTGACTGTGAGAACCTCATACATGCATTAGGATGATGATGCTCAGAATAGACCATAAGAGGGACACTCTGAGATTAATCAGATGTACATCTGAAAATAAGAAGTAACTATCCATATTCCTTCCCTCCGTATCCTGGAGGCATTGTGGTGAAGTGTTTGTTTTTATATACTAATACTAATACTATTACAGATAGTTTGAGGCTCTTTATTACTTTCACTGATGCTTGCCAATTTTCAACTATTTTATTTATCCATGAATTACATTTGACTTTTGTGAGAATTGGGAGAATTTGTGCTATATTTTCTCTCTCTCTCTCTCTCTCTCTCTCTCTCTCTCTCTCTCTCTCTCTCTCTCCCTCTCTCTCTCTCTCTTTGTGTGTGTGGAAAATTAATAAAAACCTATAAAAAAGATCTTCTCAGTCCTCTAAGTTTTAACTTTTCAATAGAAATAAAACTTTTATATAAAAAAAGTCAGTGTTCATCAGAGATAAACACATCAGTCTTCCAAAAGTAATTGCATTTAATTAAGCTCACAAAACATATCGATATGATGTATGCTAATGTAGGTTGTCAAAATTTGTATGATATATTGCCTTAAAGTCTACGCAGGGCACCTGAAAATCGTTGCTGATTTAGTTTTTCTGAGACCCAAACAATATCAAGATGTTGTGACGTCAGACCTGTCAGATGAGACAGGGTGTGTGCAAGCAAAGGTTTGTGGAGCAATCCATTGGATTAACCTCAACGGATGTCGGTATGTAAGGTTTTTCATACCGGAACGATAGAATTCATTACTTATAAAGATATGATAAGCAGCAGGTATGTACCTTATTCATAAACTGCCTTTCTTCTTTATTGATGTTCTTCAAAGTGCAGACATTTAAAAGAGGAGATCATAATGATCATTTCATTTAACCCTTTGAATACTAAGATGAGTTAACTCTGTCCATGGGCTATGTAAAATATGTATACTAAAATCAAATCACATTTAGTGGGGTAAGGAACTTTTGTAAAACAAATAAAATAAAAGCTGGTGTAAAACATCTTTGTTCTTTGTTACGCTAAGAAACTTTTTAATCATTAGAAATTCAAAAAACATGTCACAAAATGACAATACAAGCTTCATGAACAGGTGAGATACCAGCTATATTCATACAAGCATATAGCTGGAACTGAAACAGTCTTCATATTCTCTAGATCTCATCTCCTCTAATCTGAATGCATTTTCACCTGCTATGAAAAAACACAAAACAACAACAAATACACATAAGAGGCGTTGTCACACAGAGGCCAAAAATCTGGATTTTAGTTATCTGGATTGTAGTTATCCTCTTAATTGCTGTCTGTCATCAATTATCCCATTAAAAATCCTCTAACGAAGCAAGAAAATTCTCCCTCGAAAGGATTTTTCAAGGGATTTTTCAAGGGATTTTTCTGTGTGACACCGCCTAAGGACTGAGATATTCATTGGGAATGCTCCAATGAATGGTATCTTGTACATGTAGGTTACCTACCTGCCAAAGTAAAGACACCACCGCCGAGATGGGCATCTTCTACAGTCCCTGTCGTAGGTTGGCTAAGCTCATCGGTAGAGGGCACTTGATTGACAACGACCAGAGTGGTTTCATTCTCTGCTACTCCCACTAGATCAGCAGTGTGTACAGCCTGATAAAACAAGCATGAAAGAGGGATAAACAGATGATATTTCAGGTCTTATGAGTTTTAAGTAACACAACATGGTAGACTTTTAAAAGAGATTTTTGGTAAACGGAATCATAGCTGTTTCAGGAATTCAGTAGAGAAGTAATAAAAGAACAGTTATTGAAAGCAAGTAAATTTGTTGAGTTCGATAAAAAGAAAACGGATCTGCTCAAACCTCCCTCCCCCTTTCCCTCTTTCTCCCTTTCTTACCCTCTTCACCCCTTCTCTCTTTCTCTATCTCTCTCTCTCATTCATTGTTTAAACCTGGTTGTTAGAATAATATGAAGAGCAAGAGAATATGTGATCCTATTATTGAGAACAAGTCTCAAAGCATTGCAGTTCTGAAACAACTGCTGATCTAATAAAAAAATGAAAGAAGGAAACAAAAGAAAAGAGAAGAAAAGAGAAAGGCTCAATTATACTCTGTGGGTTTGTTCACATATGTCTCACAGGGGGTTTACCGCAGGGGTCTGACATATGTGCATGTGAATGAGCCTAAGGAGAGATGAGTGAGAAGGACATGAGTAAAGATTTAGACAGACGCACTCATAATGATGTCTGCAAACGTTGGAGCGGGTACCTTCATCTTCATTAGCTAAAAAATTGAAAGTCTTTTTAACTATTAAAATGAATATCGCATACCAGTGAAAAACTTTATCGCAGTGTTATGCACTTTTCTCTTCAAACATATAAACTTTAATTAGTCGTTAACACACTCCACTTATGTAATAACACTTGTGAGACATACGAGTAGTTTTGCCTTCGTGTGCAATGAGACAGATAGAAATGATTGCTGTCAATGCCCTAGAGGCTATACAAGTCAGAAACAGATAAACGTACACGATAGTTACGACGACTTCCCGAACACTACGTGATGTTCCCTGCTACTCCAAGCTGGAAATGAACTAATTGAATTACTTTCATGAGGTGTTAAATAACTCATTAGGTCTTCTCACGGAAGCATTGTTCTCAAACGAACCCAACCCACTGTGACCCACATACATTGCAATAGTGCAACTGTAAGGCTCATATGAATGTAGGAAAGGGAAGGGGGTAATGTTATGCCTCCCTCTATTCATAAACACATCTCTTTATAGCTCAAGGATGCACCATAGGTTAATATTTGCGCAGATACTATTCTAAAATGTTTGTTTCTGATTACTATGCATTTATATCTCTCAGACTGCGTTTGCAATATGTCATTATTGCAATTTAAGTTTGAAAAGTAACGCAAGGTGCTTCATATCCCCCCCCCCCCCCCCCCCCCCAGGTCAGGGTAAAATTGCCATGTTATTGAATCCCATTAATTACAACACTGTACACAAAATAGCAACACAAATATCAAGATTAAAAACAAGACGAAATAATTTTTAACAAAAGCAAACTCTCAAGGTACATGTAGGGTCATGGTTCTACCCATGATGACATGTTACCTCTTGTACTTGCACACCCAATCTTGATTATTTTCCACTTCCCAGGTGGGTTTCAGTATCTAATATTGGTATCACATGTTATTGGGCAATATAAATAAAGGAGCACCTCGGACATCATTCTATGATTTCTACAGCTTTGACTAATGCTACATGCATAATTTACCTTCAACTTGTGAGAAAGTGGGATCAACACAACACACTAAATTCTGCATTTTGATAGAAGTTAGGCAAACATAGGTAATGATATTCACATGTACAAGTAGGACGGTGCAGTGATCAGTGAGGGCGGAAGTGTGGATTTGGCAATATTTCACACCTTTTCAAACATCACTTGATGGATTTGATTCCAGTCAATTAAGGTCGGGTCCCTGTGCAGCCATTTGTTGCTTTTGCCCTAAATGGTTATTCTCATGTTTTGGCTACTGATAACATTCGGGGAGTGAGGTGCTAACGATATAATCCTCTCCAAGAGCCAAAGACGGAAAAGCATCCTGAATGATTTATTCCTCAGTCCAAGAGCAAGCCTTGAAAACAAGGACTGCATGTCTCCCAAACTGATGAATATCGAGAAAACATCCTGAGAGATAATTGGAAACTGTGTTGCAAATAAATTCAGGACTCTTCAAGATCAAGTGGCTACCACTCCAAACTACATTTGATACCGGTAATATTAATATTTTGTAAGATGCACATGTACATCTTAGGACCTAGGTCTATACACTTTTGTGTAGTGTCAATCCATCTGTCAATATATGCCTTCATTTTGTTTCATTATTTCTTCTTCTATATGTATTTGTTTCCCGTTTCCACTTTCAATTTTTCCTTTCCCTTCATTCCTGAATCTCCAGCTCCTTTCCCTCCTTATTTCCTTTACCTTCTCTCTTTCCATCACCTATTCACTTCTTCTCTCTTCCCCTCACCTATTCTCTTCCTCTCTCTCTCTCCTGCCCTTACCCATATCCATCCCCTCTTATCCTCATTCGTATTCGCCTTGGTCCCATCTTCTTCTTTTACAGCCACTTCTCATCACTTTCTAGAATTCATATCTTTTTGTCAATCCTCTTTGAATTGTTAGGTACCCACACATTGCATTTCTTTTTAACTACCTACATTTAAACCCCCTCACTTCAGTCTCCTGAATGACCCCTCAAATGAATAAAATATAAAATAATGAAATAATGAAATTATACAAAATAAAAATTGGGGCATCAGGTCAATTGCATCGGAAACATAACAGGTACAACATAGGTTACCCCAACCCACTTCTGACATAATCTGGAATATATAGAGATTGACAGTATCATCTAGCTCAGGTCAAACTTTCTAAAAGATAACTGCGAACAAAAGTGGCAAGCAAGGGTCAGCTGACAAACTATTTTGAGTTGATGTACGTATATCAAAGACAAAAATAAAACGGGAATTACTAATTCATCTTGATTGAGATAGTAAGGGTATCACTGCAGTGGGGTGCTACCTAAAGACTTTAAGCTTCTCAAGGACATTGTCCTATTTATGATTACGCAAGAAAATTATTATAGATAACCTTTTCTCTGACAAAATTGATGTTAGCTTCAAACTATTGCAAAATCAAGAATTGGGAGTCACAGAATCACAAAATTTAAACCCTGATAAAAGTGCTTTCAAATAACAGTGCTTTCAAATCTTTAGTTATAAATGTTTACTGCCAATGTACTATTGAATCTACAAACCAGACCCATGCACACACACAAAAAAAGAATTAAATCATTTGAGTTGCACACTGCAAAAGTCCTGATAACAGTCCGCCAAAATCAATACAAACATTGGTATCAATCCCACATTCTTTGTAATGTAAATATCATATGTAAAAAAAAGGCAGTGTGGATATTCAAATAAATACTCAAGATATATAGTACACATACCTTAAAAAGAACAGGTAATCTAAAGGTTTTCGAAACAAACTTGCACATAAAATTTATCTACTGGTTCATTTATTTTACACTCTGGTTTTGGAGTTCACTTTGCTATATCCATCATGCATGACTGTCACGATATCCACATTACAATTATTCAGGATTCATTTTTAGGGGCCTGTATGTAAGTATGAATAATGCTCATTTTGAAATTTTGAGGGGGGAAGGGATCCAGATTTAAATGTAGGGTGCCAATGTGTTCCGGGCAACCATTATAGAGTCAAGTATCGACATAGTAATAATCTGGGGTTGTAATCATGCCTGAGGTATATACGTCACAATTCATCTTTTGTTGCATTACTGACAATTGTCATTATCCTAATCTCATTTTGAGATGGTGATGAAGACAGCTTTCACTCAAAGAGATCAAAATCAAACACGAAGGTCCTTACACAGAAAACTCTTTCAACAAGTGGTTTCTATTTCCAGTATGCACGAATGTGACTTGGAATCTTGCCACATTGGTAATGTCTTTTGTTTGATTGTGGTTAACTACCTGCTTCATGGTTGCTGTTGTTTTCCTAAAAAAAATCATGTAGGCAGCTTGGCACATTCGAGTAAGCGTGACATGATTAACCTATATATTCTCTAGTGGTCCAGACAAACAATACAATTCTCTTTCATCCTCCTCCCTCTCTTTCAATTTTAGTCATGCGAGCATGTTCTCACTGGACAGACAGAAACTGCTGGCAATGGAAATGGTCCATCTTTTGTTGGTGAAAGTGAGCTGGGAGTGTGTAGTTCCAGTAATGACTTCCTTCTGCCAAGTACCTCCCATACACACTCACAATATTTAGCTTCACAGTTCGTCTGGAATGGGACAACTTCCTCAAGACTTGCATCAATTCCTCTTGTTGTATCCTCCCAAATTACCCATCCATTTCCTTAATCCATCTATCAAAGAAGACCGTCGGTGAGATGGGGCCCAATTCCTTTGACAAGGGTGATTACCATTCCTACTTACTCCAACATAAATGAGATTGCAATAGCAATTCATCATATGATGTATTCTCCTCCTGAGCATTAAGAAAATTCCTAAAAGACAGTCTGCATGCATAGCTCAAATAAAATGAAGAAAGGCACAGTTCAGTTTGAGTGTGTTAAATCTAGTGCACCTTGTTCATTCTTGCTTTACAAGACAACATATAACTCAAGTACTATAACAACATTAGCAGCAGGATAAATCCACTGCTTGATTAAAGGTAATACAGAGTTTTGGTATGGGGTCATGAATTTGGTTCAAATGAAAATATTGGAAGCATATGCGATCCTACAATATTCAGTGATCGTTGTCGTGGTTGAAATCGAGTCTAAAGTGATGAAATTGTAAAATGTAAATAATAAACTCTTTATGTTGTATAGCTCCCTCTCAAGGTCAAGATTTTAATTTAGCTATAAAAAAATGTTTCTTGACTAAAATCGACCAATTGACTATTTCGCAGCTGCCATTGTATGGCCGTAGACGCTATTTGATATTCAATTTTTCTCAAAAGCAGAAGTGTTTTAGGGGCTAAATTTTCTAGTGCTTATAATACATTCACATGGGCATCCAAATATATAAAAATTGTAAAGAATCTCT